GAACCAAAACAAGAACATGAAAAAAGGGTTGTTGTAGAAACCATCGTTGGTCTTCTGCCAAGGGAGAAAAATGCATTATCCGTTAGCTTTTGTCAATGCTTCTCCGAGCTGCAATATATCTGCAGACCACGATGGCTGGCAGGCTCGACTTGGAGAAGAGGATGGATTGCAGCTTGGACAGGCTGTATTGGATGTATCTGTTAATTCCTTCATATTCCTTCAGAGGGGACACTTTGTTTGATGTTGAAATCATGCAGCTTATTGTGATGAATTTCCTTGCCTATGATATGGAGGAAAATCATTGGGAGATGAAGAGTATAATGAGTCTCATTCATTAAGAGACATGGAGCGAGTTGGGGAACTTATGGAAAATTACCTTGCTAAAATAGCTTCTGACCGTAATCTATCCATCACAAGCTTCATTAATCTTGCTGAAGTCATTCCAGAGCAAGAAAGGATCACTGAAGATGGGATGTACAGTGCCATTGACATTTATTTTAAGGTATGTACAATGAAATTACCTGATTAATTCTAAGTTTATATGTGCATATTTACCCATACAAGCCGCATTTTCATTGATTTAGAATTTTAAGCCATGTTTAGTAATGGAAAAAAACTTCCTGACTGCTACATGGTAATTGCTATGCTAAATTTAATTATCTTGATCAGATAATTTCCTTAGCAGTGCACCTTCTGGTGCTAGCATGATAGTATCCCTTTATTAGGGAAATGCATCTGGACCTCTGAAGCTTTTGATGTTCTAGTAGACTATGTAAAGGGATATTTATACCCTTCTGTGTTTTCTTATCACTGGAGTTATGGGCCTAATTTAGACTGGTAAACTTTTTGGGAATAAACAAAATCAGACAATATGTCATCAACGAAAAACCGGTCATCTTTACAATCTTAAACTCTCCAAAGACACAATTTGCAGGCATTTCTCGACCAGCCTTATCCTACTTCATCCTTAACAATCTTAGCTCCCCAAAGATCATGGGTCATTTCTTCTGCCTGCAGAGGATCATCTCTACAGTATGGCGGCGGCTTGTTTTGTCCTGTATGTTGCAGGCTTTGTTATGCGTGTATTTATACTTGAGGTCTTTTTCTATCATTTCAAATCAGAATGTTAACTAGGGAGAAATAACTTCCAAAAGAATTGGCATGCCTATACTTGTTTAGTTATGTTCTATGCACCAGCAAATAAAAACTAATCTTTGTATAAGCATGGTATATAAGAATTGGCATGCCTATATATTGAGTATAAAAACTAGTCTTAGTTCTATGCACTGAGTTCAACTGACGGATGTTATGAAACTAAAATCCATACATGTATTTCATATATGGTATCTCACCCTAAAGAGACTCTTGTATATGTGCTCATAGATGTGCAACCTGCACCTCCCCTGTTACTCTATCTAAAGATAAGGGTGGACTCAATACGTTTTTCAGTGCAGAAGCTCCAAATCTTCTTCCTGCTGAGTTACATAATAACAAGATACAAACCATATACCGTATTTGACGACCTTCACACATCATGTTGTCAGTACAACAAATATATTCTTAAGTAATGAGTTGAACCTGATCAGAAGGTTTAAGCTTTTTAAGATACAGAACAAAAAGCGCAGAACTCTTAAACCAAGCTAACATGATTTTCTAATTGTTGAATTGTGTGACCGTCTTAATTCTTAAGTAAAAATTTGAACTACTAGAGAGTACATGAGCACTCTTTTATTTGCTTAATTATGTCTTTAATACATCAATTGATCTAGGGAGACGTGTTAAATATGTTTTTGTTGGAATTTGAAGGCACATCCAGATCTAAGCGACATGGAAAGAAAAAAGGTTTGCGGTGTTATAGACTGTCAAAAGCTTTCTCGAGAAGCTTGTGCTCATGCTGCTCAAAATGATAGGCTTCCTGTTCAGACAGTTGTGCAAGTACTTTACTACGAGCAACAATGTCTTCATAATGCCATGGATGGGAGCCAGCTTGTAGCAACCAAACCTCCTGCCCTTGTCTCTTCCAAGATGAATCATCAGTTCTCTGCTGACCCTGAGGACTCGAGTCTAAAACGAGAAAATCAGGAGCTGAAATTTGAGCTTCTGAAAATGAAGATGAGGTTGATGGAAATTGAAAAACCGAATTCAAACAGATCAGTTACAAGCAGCCCTTTGGTCATCACTCATCCATCTGCTGGTAAACCACCTTTGCCAAGTAACTCTAACTTCATGAGCTCAGTCTCGAAAAAGCTCAGAATATTAGTCGAGCTGATGGACTCACGCAAGGCAAAACTCGAAATAAACCAAAGTAAAGATAGACGTCATTCCATATCGTGATTTGAGCTAGCTATATTTGTATTATTGTCTAAATATGGTACGGACTTGATTCCAAATCTATGCAAGTCTATATGGTAGATTATATACATTTTTATACAGATTATGTTGTGCTTTAATCCAGAAATTTTTTCCAGGTACATTATCGAAGAAAGATTTGTAATATTGTTTTTCTGCCATTTTCCAGTGGCAAGAATAATGGATTAATCTGTATGGAAAATTGGGGTTAACTAATGTCTGACAAACAACAACATAATATTTAGATTATGCTGAAGATTCGAGGAGAAGTTGCTCCCTCTGTAGACAAGCCTTTCAGGATCCAACATTAGTACGGATTATGGATTAATTAATTCAAATGCTGAAAATTTTCTGCTGAGAGTACTAGTAACTTTTTTGTTTTCCAGTAGTTGCTCAAGTTATCATAAGCTTTTAGGATGGAGGTGAAATTCATGATCGAGTTCCTTAAATCGGTTTGTGCGTTAAGACTGAAAATTCACTGTGGAGTAGAGGATTGAATAATGGTTGAGCCGAAATTTTCAAATAAGGAAGTGGAGTTAAAATATAAAATATAAATATATAGAAAGTCAAAAAAAATTCAAAATGTCATAATACATATATATATATATATATATATATATATATAAAGATACATTAATTATCTTGATCTATTTATCTTGTATATTTCTCTGAGGAAGGATTCATTAGTTGACCCTCAGACCAAGGGTGGCTCAATTAATTTTATAGCCTAAATTCAAATTGTAATGAGAGACTCTAAATTATTCCAATGGTTATTTTAGTTTTCAACTGTGTTACATTCTTAATTAGAGGTCTCGAGTTCAATCCTTAAATTTTATTGTGAGTGAATAGTCATGTAATGTGCGATCTGAATTTAGTTAGAGTTCGAACACTGGATGAAAAAATTTCAGAAGGTTATTTTCTAACTCTTTAAGATGCTAACATAGTTAATTAATTTTATTTAATTCTTATAAATAACAATATTTAATCTACATCTATGAAGAAAAAAAAAATTAGAAGTGTAAAAGAAGGAAATAGAAAACTACAGTAGATGAATTTCAGATACTCATAATTTTTGAGGGGCAAGAAAAGCTTGCATTGCATTGTTTGCATCGTATGACCTTTGTGAGAGCTCTTCATATTTAAATTGAGTCCACTAAGCTAACAGGGGACTGACATAATTTAAAGTGTGACTTGTGCAAAGGCCTCAATGACATTCACTCTTCATTAACAATTACTAAAATTAACTCTATTTCTAATAGTAATTCTTTCCATTTCATTTTGTATCTCTTAGTACACGATATTTAATAAAAGAAATAAAGAATATTCAAAAGTTGATACTTTAAATGTATCATAATATTTATGTGGTTATAGAGTTTTTGATTCTTCTAATTATAAACATGTTATACTATTTGTGAGATTATAAAAATTTATTATTAACTAACATATTTAATTTTTTCAGACAGACTAAAAATCATATATACTATGTATATAATTATTGAGGCTTAAACTTTTCCGAGACCTAAAGAAATGGCTTTACTTGCTTGGCCCTCGAGGGGACATTGTCTCGGACAAAGTAGCTCCGCCCCTTGGAGTGAGAGGTACGCGTGGGTACGTGTAATTAGACAAGGAACTGAGAAGCCAAATGATTAATCCTTTTTTTCATCATGACAATAAAACAAAGTGTGTGCTTTTGAAATAACAGATGCTTCGTTAACTTTTGAGATCAGAAGAAGAAAAAAAGAAAGAAAGTGATCATCCCGCCAGTATATATTATTATTGCATAGAGAAGCTTTTATTTATTTGGATTGGGAATCTAATGTTCATTTGGTGGCAGACAAAACTATAGCAATTCCTACTCAAACTGTTGGTAGGAGTAGCTTCCATGTGGTTGGTGGAAAACGACTTACAATTAATTACTAAACATAATTTTAATTAAGAATCATCTTATTCTTTTCTTTTCTTTTTTTTCCCCATCACATCCCATTTAAGTGGAAATAATATTAACAAAGTCTGTTTAGATCTGATTCCTTAATTATATTATCACAAATCTAGCTACCTCTTAACCCTTTTTTATGTTTGTTAAATGGACATCCAAGTTGGAGATTATGTCATAGATGAAGAGCTTTTATTAGTACAATGAACCTAAATAATTGATCATCAATATTTATTTAACAACTTTGATTATTCCTTTTGTTTGGGTTTTCTATTCTATTAAAGACACAAAAGCCTATTTGATTTGATTCGTTTAAAGTAGTTGATAAGTCTCAAGTATTAAAAACTACTTTTAAATGTTCAAATTTTGTTTTCTTAACTGTTTAAAAAAGAAATATCGTAATTCATAATGACTAATTAGTAAATCACGATAAAAATGACCCAAAATCCTTTTGAAGTTCCTTCTTTGTCAACTTATTACATGTTAACTAATTTTATCTTATTATTAGTCAAACACAATCAAATCTTCATAAGAATTTTTTTTTTCATGTCATAATTTTAATCTAAATGAAACTTGAAACAAACTCAATTCTATAGTAGGGCAAACAAATAGGCAGATTGTAGATATTTTTTTTTGTGAGCTAATAAGTACAGACAACTGGACAATCATATACATATCCAAATCAACTATATTTGGCTGTTGAATCCCGAAAATACCGTTAGCAAATTAAACAAAGAGATTAGAATTAAACAAAAGATGATACTAAAATTTCACACAAAATTAAATTACATAAGTAGTCGATCGGTAGGATGAAAGTCTAAAATCTTATCACATCCGATCGACTAATTAATCATCGATCAGCATCATAATTAAATAATAGTAGTTTTTTTTTTACGTCATATTCAAACTCAAAACTTGAAAAAGCCAAGGAGGATTATTCAACGAATCTTGTGATCTATATTGCTCTTGATCAACATTTTGATTACTTTGTGAACTTCTTGCACCAATCTGAAAATTATTCGAAACTGGCAATTTCTCTTCAAGTCCCCATTTACTACCTTCAATATTCCTCGAATTTCTCACTAAATTTGTCGTAGTGTTCTTTATTTGGCTAGAAGCAGATCCTGTTGAATTAGATGAAGAAAAACTTGGTGAAGAAGAATCAAAATGAGCTGTTTTTCTCCTTCGACGAACGTTGTAACTTGATAGCCCTAATGTTAATTCCAATTCATGAGTATCATCTTCACCACCTGATTCTGCAATGTGTTCTTCGTCTGTATTTGGCCTTATTTCCAAGTCAATACATTGACGAGCAGTTATCTTTTTGTTCGAGTCTAATTGGTTTACCACTACTTGATGATGATCTTGTTGAGGCCGATTATTAGTACTACTTGACATGTTTCTCATCAGCAATTTCTGTGTTTGATATAGACGATGCAGTTCGTACACCTGACAAAACACATGTCGTTAAGCAATTAATAAATAAAATCTAGAGTCAGTTGATTCAGAACGAAACATAATATAAATTTACCTGTTCTCTGAAGATCTCTTCATGCTTTAACATCGCCATCTTCATGTATTCCTTATCGTAAGGATTGATAAGCTTCTCCATTTTTAAAATAAAAAAGACAGAAAGAAGAGGAAGAGAACGATGTTTCTTCGATTTGACTCAATGTATCTCCGGAATTGGGAATGTATATTAGTACCTAAAAGAAGCAGAAATCAAGTAAGTTTTTTTTTAAAAAAAAATTGAAAAATGAATAAAGAAATAGTAGCTATTTAATTGTTGTAATAATAATAATAATAATAGAAAAGAAGTTGATAGACGTTAAAGGCTATGATCTAAGAAAATATCAAGCTTCCCAATTTATTGCACAACTTTTTTATGACTGAAGGAGATTAACGCAGTACCCCTATTTTGGCATGTGTGATTTTGTTTGTTTTTATTGTTCGTTCTTTTCCATACAAATTACTGTCAATTTGGGCCACACCAATAATAATAACAACAGCATTATATACATAAATCATCTATATATGTCCTATTATAAAGCAAGACATGATCAACATATATATATATATATCACCATCATAACAACAGTAGTAATATTCTTGTAAAATCAAGTTAATTCATATATCCTAAAAAAAATACAGATATTTTTCGACAAATTAAACTATTCTCTGTTACCAGTTTACGGCATGCCACATGCTTTTCTCACTTCTTTTTTTTTGTTAATACGTTTTCGATATTTTTAGTTTTCATTAGATAGGTAATTAGAAAACATATAATTCCATTCCGTGTATCAAAGAAATTTGCTAGCTATTAATTGATGATCAGATGGATATTTTTGATTATTTTTGTCGTTGATCGACGCTAAGCATGCAACAATAATGTTCATGTAAATTATAAAAATGAACTTAAATTATAGAGTACCAAAGAAAGAAAGAAAGAGCAAGAAAAAATACATATTTTTTTATGATTGAATTCAGCGTCCTTACCTGCAACGTACTTTATTGATCGAATAGAAGAACTTTGAGGAGTTTAAAAACCAAAACTTGGAGACTTTTAGGCTTTTTCTTTGTTTGAGAGAGTTTATTAACATCCCACTTTTAATTTTGCCTCTAGTATATACTGCCAAAGTGAGCACCCCCAAAGATATATATATATATATATATTATATATATAAAATTAAAAGAGGAAAGAATAAAATATCATTATTAGGACTGATAAGGAAGAATTTAAGATTCTCATTTAGCACACGGAAATCAAAGCAAATGTTGTTGTATTTTTGGAGTTTGATAGGAAAAAAAAGAGGGTGAAATAGGTATGTAGGGGGGGACTAGGGAGGAAGCATGCCAAACAAATCCAGTCCCCTTAGCCAATGTGGTTTGAGTTTTGTGAAAGAGATGCCCCCAGACAAGTCCAGCAGTGCACATAATATTTAAACATTTTCTAATCACGATAACATATTTTTTTAACTTTATAATATATAGTTGTACTCTCATATAATGCAGGGGAGAAGAATAATATATACTTTTATATAAGTGGATCACACCACATAGGGGGTTGGGGTGGATTAAAATGCAATCATCAATGTAACAGCTTAGGAAGGAATCACATGCACTAAATTACTAGTACTAGAATACAATATAACCTTATTATGTTTGTATACATATATCCCTTGAATGATGCGGTGCATAGATTGAGATTGTTTCTTTCTTAATCTGAGATTTTAGATTTAAATATTAAATTTTTATTAGAAAATATTTTTGAATTTTCTAATAGAGTCTTATATGATATGAATCTATATATAATTAAATATCAATACGAATACGAACGGACTAAAAAGGATATACGAAGTATAGTTGTCTCAACCTTTGCCTGTTATATACTTGTAAATATAGTACTAAGTATATCGTACTAAGTATATCTGATATTGTCCCCAATCTCCATCCATTCTTGTGGGCAGAGAAAAATAGGTGTCATCACCTGGCCCCGCCGACAATAGATCTGATCCTGGCCGTACGTTTTTGTGGGTACCCTTTCGTATACTCCAAAAGTTGATCAACTTATCTTCAACATTTTTACCTACATCATGCTACACCTCAATTATTGTTCACAATACCAATCCAATATTATTAATTATTAAAACACACAATAATATACGTTCTAATTACCTTATTATTATGGAGATATCATCTTTTAATATATACATATTATTAGTATAATTTAATCGGGCATAATTATTGATTCTATTTTTTCAAGTTATCATAAATCACCAAACAATTATGTATATGCATTGTTAGCTCATGGTTGAAAATTTGCATTATCTACGTTATTTATACCATTAATATAACATAATGAATCTGTCATATTAGACTAGCTATTACTCTATTAACTTAATTTGATAGTAATCATGTGTATAAGCTCCATGATTAATATAAAATATTGTGTGGTATTATCGGTAGTGATTAAATGAATCTTGATCCCTTAACTCCCCCACGGTGGCCAACGCAACACCATCTAATATGATGGACATTAATGCGACCATGTGATGAGTTTCTTAAGTTAAATTATAACTATGTGATTGGAAACAAGCTAAAGGCTTAGATTCATTGATTGTTCGATTTGATTGTTTATATATTTTTATATTATAGTTAAAAATAAAAGTTGCGTAAGTCGACGGCCTCGAATATATAAGAACATGTGCACATTTATAAGGCAAATTTGGTTGGATGGATAGACTTCAAATTAAATTATTTTAAGGAAAGAATATTAATAGAGCTGGATTTGTCTTTGTTGTGTTTTTAGATGTCATAATTATTAGTACAGATGGACGGATTAGAACGCAAAGATAATATTCCAATACATACACCGAGAATATGGAAGAGATATGGATTTAATTGGCATTTTTTTTTAATTCCACATCATGTAAATGTGGCAGAAGTAAAGGTAAATAAGAAATTTTATACTTTGTCGTTAAAAAATTATACTACTAGAATAAAATAAAAACAAAATCATTACTAATAAGACTTGTTGAATCCCTTTTAAAACGAGGGAAACTTATAGAAGTTATTCAAAACTTCCTATATCGGTCAAATTCAATAGATTTTACTTCCAAAAAAAATATGTATCTTAAAAGGATTATTAAATTTGTATACATCATACATTTAGAATTCAATTATTAAAATTATTGTTATCTGATTCAGAATTTATAAACTTAAAACTCTAATTCTGTCTCGTTCAATAACTTTTTATGATATTAAATTGAAACACATAATGTGATAAAATAGTAACACAATGATTGATGAAGAATCCAATATTATTATTTTTTGAAAAATAAAAAGAAAGATGCAAAGAATGTGTTTGTGTCCATATGGTAAAATCAAAAGAAGATGATAGTAGTTGGATGGAACATTAGAGAGAGAGAGAGGAGAGGGACATTAAAGCACGCGTTGCCGGTTCAAGAAGGTGCACAAGTATGGAGGGGTGGTAGGGTCCTTTTCGGTTTACTAAAAGGCTGAGCCACGCCCTACCCTTCATCCTTACTGTTACTTGGTCCCATATCCCTTCCTTTTTTTTTTTTTACAAAAAAAAAAAATTGGCCATCATGACATATACTATATAGTATCAATAATATTATAAGTAGATGATATGTTATTACTGTTAATTCTGATCACTTTGTGTTCCATAATTCAAAACATGACCCTATTGTTATTCCCAACTTGACCTCTTAGCTCATTACTCACAAGTTACAACAATAATAATATATTAGTGTAATTCAGCAACAAGTGAAGTCTAAAGAAATAAATTAGAAATTATGTTGATCATATAATTCCTATTTTATGAAATAAAAAGACTTCTTTTGATAAATTCTGATAGGCTCACAATGACGATACAATAATATATTTTTTCCGTTTTAAAAAAAAATCTTATTTATTTTTTAGTCTGTTTCAAAAATAATGATATATATATATATATTTTTCATAATATTTTAACTTTAACTTTTTCCACATGATATATTTAAATGATATTTTGATACATTTGACATAACTTTAATTTATAGACACAAAATTAAAAAATCTTTTTTATTTTTAAACTCAATTCTAGATCAAATTAGATTATTTTTTTTCAATGAAGAGAGTAATATATTAACAAAACATTATATCTTGTTAGTTGGCGTGGATCAATGCTTAGTGGATCTTCAGATATCCACTATAGTATAGGCATTAATAAAGCTAATCATAGGCCATAGCTCAAGATTTTAGTTTTTGGCAATGGTTTGTTGGATAGGATAGGGTTGGTACATAGGAGCATAGCAACATATACTAGTAAGATTTACATTGTCATTTTTCAGTGCAGGCTAGGCAGGGCATGAACCATGTTTAATAAATTTTACATCAAGAATAGGATAAAATTTACTTGTATTTATTGTTGAATAATCTTGAATTGAGAAGTTTGTACTATATAGTGGTAATATCTAAACATTATTTGAAAGATTTGATGTACATGCTATACACAAGATAAGGCATCATCTAGTACATTTTGTACAGCAAGTGACGCATCATCAACTAATCTTTTTAGTGTACAGACTAAAGATATTTTGTTGATAAAATAAAAATACTGAAGAATCTTCATCAGCCACAAAATGTTTTTATTACTTTACAAAGAAAGTCCTGCCAAAAGTAGTATGATATCTTCCTCTCTTTCATGAGTACTACTCTTTCCCATTTTATGCTCTTCTTGTCATAAATCTACCTAAACCTTCAATTAGCAAAATATCAAGATCAGCCCACCTTCATCCTTTTTTTAGTCTCTGTATTAACTTGACACGTGTTTAAGAGAAAAAAGAAAAGGATACTTGAACTTTGGATCCTAAATTTGATTTTAAATTTTAACTTTGACCTTCAATTTTCATAATGCACAAATAAACATTTTAACTATCCAACTTTTAAATAAATAAACACATGGGTCCTATATGACACAATACACGTAAGACACCATATAGGACAAAAAATGACACGTAGGATGACATGTAGGACATGTGTGTCTATTTGTTCAACTTTACACAAGTTTAAGTGTCTACTTGTGCACACCAAAGTTGAAGGACATAAATGTAATTCAAAGCTATATTAAAGGGCTTATTTATGTATCATATCCTTTTTTAACCGGTGATATAATATAAGTAATAAATGTTTATATGGTTGGTGCCTAGTAAAATGACAGCTAAAGTTGAATCATGACTAAATATAATTTTTTGACCTATAAAAAGAAATGTAAATGATATAAATTGACACGCAAAGTAATACATATCTATTTTCCACATTTTATTTTTTTTAAAAAAGGGGAAAATTAAAATATTGACTGGTTCACTGGATTCTGATGAAATCTTGTTTTTTTTTAGGGCAGTACATATAAGTCAAGAGAAAAAAGCCATGTGTTTCTGTGTGTGATGAAATCACGGGCTGGATTATGAATTAAATGACAGGGACTAACTACTGACTAAACTTAATTAAGTTACAATTAATTAGGGATAATGACATTAATCATAACATGTATACACGCTACCTGCTCACACAAATCTATGTTATGAAATAATCCATATTACCACTCTTTTTGTCTCTGCCACAGAAATTTTAAAAAAGTGTATATATTTTATTTTATTTTATTTTTGCATGTAATTTAAATTATAGAGAGGATGCAGTGGCTTTCTTCCCAATACAAATAGCACTATCATTTATTTACATTTTTAATAACATTTGCTAATTTTTTTTTAAAAAAATAATAATTCTACCTGAGTTTCACTGCTAAAAAACTTTTGTTTGTCGGCAATTAGAGAAGCAGATATTCTCTTCTTCCCATATGGGGAGAAAGAATAGATGATGAACAAACTGCCTTGAGCTTTGAGATCGATGTACTATTTTTTTACTAATATAATATCTCTATTCTCTTCTTTATTAACGTGGGGCAATTTGCTGGCAGGACTTTCATTACTCTGTTAATCATATGATTTAAACTATATTATAAAGTATCACTTTTCTCTTTATACTTCGTAATAAATTAACTAATATTAGTTGTAAAGTCAAAAATTTCATTAAAGATGTATAAGTTTTAATATGTATGTGTGAAAAATAATTTTTTAAATTTATATATTTCATACAATTTTCTATATACGTTATAGGGAAAAGACTCAAATATGCCATATAACTTTCTAGAAAAAATTCATTTATGTCATTAGTTAAAAGTTTGGCTAATTTATGTCATTACTGTTAAATAAAAGACTTATTCATGCTATTATTTTTTAACAATGATTTTGCAAAACCATTTTTGACACATGACCAATTATAATTCGGTCACGTAATCAATTTTTTAAATAAATAAATCAAAAAAAATCAATTTAATTTTTTTTTCAGAATCATGATTTTTTTTATTTAAAAGATTGATGATGTGGCCTAATTACGATTGACCACGTGGTTAAAAATT